GCAGTGAGAGGAGAGGGACGTCAGGGGTGGGAGGTTATGGGGGGTGGGGGGAGCGTGGGATGAACGGTGCTGGCAGTTCGGCTAAATTTGTCTTGTTTGGGTTTTTTGTTTTGTTTAATGTATATTTTTATTATAATTATTATATATGAATTCCCTTCAAATCGTTCCTTTTTGTTAACAAGGGGCATGGGAAGGGTGGGGGTGGGGGGGCAGAGGCATCCGACCCCAGGAACCTGCAGGGCGGGGCTGGGTCAGTGCCCTCTAAGGACATTTTTGACCTTGTTCAACCTTTCCACAAAGAATAAATGGTGTTTCACATTCTTTGTGTGGCTGCATTCTCTCAGAAAGAGAAATGAATGGAAAAGGCACTCGTAACCGGTGTTTTCTGTGATGTGGGGTTTTAATATTTTTCATAAAGGACTATGTTTATTCTTGGTGGACAACATGGACTCAGGGCCGTAGCTGGGAAGTAGGACATACTCCACCGGGGCAGAGAAGTGGTCCACAGAGCCCAGCTGCTCTCTCCCAACCTAGCCAAGAGGTTACTTTAGAGGCCCAGAGCTGCAAAGGGCAAGAGGAAGTGGTCAAGCTGAGGCCACTTGGAAAATCTTCCTAAATTGCATTAGCCTGTCACGTGATCTGGCCGCAGACCCTCCATTTCCCCAGACCTGTCTTTTTGCTGCTGGGGACTCCCAGGATCGTTGACACTCGGCCCTTTACCCCAGCCCTCAGCATCTAAGCCTCTTCTAGGCCTGGGGCTCTGCCTCAGGAGCAGAAGGAACAGAGAGGCAACCCATGGCCTACTAGGAGCAGCCTATCTCTGGCAAAACATGAGTTTCACCCCACTTGCCCAGGAGAGGCAGGATGGTCAGGTTGGAAGGGAAGAATAACAAGGCTTTGTTTCTTCGAAACTGCTGCCCCAGACTGGGTTCCCAGGCTGTCCACCCACCCTTCCCTTCCTCCGAAACCAGCCTGGAGGGAGGAATAGCTCAGTTGCTGAGTCAGCTCAGCTGAAGGGGAGCAGCCCTCTTTCTTCCTCCCCTTCCCTTCCTGCCTTAGCCCGGCCCTCCCCGGGCTCCAGCCCAGGCCCCCTCCACAGCCTTCCTCCAAGAGCACTGGCCCCACCTAGACCAGCGGTTCCATCCAGCTGCTCTTCAGGGCTCGTTGGTGTGATTGCTTTGGCAGAAGGGGTACCCCACCTCTCTGCCAGCCAGGAACCCTGACCCTATGACTGGCCTCCTACACCTCTCCTGCCAACAGCTGTTTGGCACGGCCTGTGTGTCTCAGCAGATTTGGACACCACCACCCTGCCACCCTCACAGGAGGGGATGGGGACCCTGAGAAGCTGGCACGAGAAAGGGGTTCTCTGGGGGGTGGGGGGCCTGTGCATGTCGCCAGGAGCCCAAAGATGAGCTCATGGCCCCTTTGTGTTTTTGTGGCCCGCATCTGGAGGCAATTACAGATGTTATCCAGTGGGAGTTCTGCAAAACACAGCTGGAGCCAGTAGAGGAGCCTGGGGAGGGGGGACTGCCAGAGGGAAGAGGAGGGGGAGCCTAGGGCTGCCACGGCTGGAGTGCGGTTTCCCCATCACGAGGAAATTGTTTGGCCCCGATTCTGGAATCACAAGATGCTCTCTGAAGCCAAGGGGGAGAGATGGGAACAGAGGACCAGAGACAAAGGGGGAAGAGGTGGAAGAGGCTTCATGAGCAGAGAGAATTGTGGGGTGGAGGCCGGCAAGGTCCCGTGCTTCTGACGTGCCCTGGGCCTGAGGGATCCAGCCCATGAGGCCACCCAGAGACCCCGGGAGGGGCCTTGCTGATCACAAAGGGTCAGGCAGGGTGAAGGGAGAGCAGAGGGCCCTGTGGCTCCTGAGAGACCTGACAACACTGCTTTCACTGGCCCTACCCCGCTTTGTCCGTTGGGCCTGACCCAGTTTCTAAGGTTCCAAGTTCCTTTATTCGAAAGCAGCACATGTGAGCTAGAGCAGCCAGGCGAGAGCCAAGGGGAATCTGTGAGGAGGTTTGGGCAGAACCCAGGGAAGCGGCCTCAGAGGAGACTGGACCGGGGGCAAGTGCTGAGGAGAGACAGCGCTCTGCCCACCACTGCACCCCACACGTTTGAGGGGCGAGCCACAGACTCCCTTCTCCAGGGCTCCCCACCACCAGCTGGGCCCACACCTCCAAGGCTGCCAGCCAGGCGCTGGGTCACTGACGTGAGAAGGGGAAGACCGAAGAGGAGCTGGGCCTTCTAGGGGAGAGAGGACTGAGCAGAGTGATGCCCCACACACAACCCTGAGTCAGCTCTGCTGGACCTTCACTGTCCCTCCCCTGGGGCCCCTTCTCCCCCTTCTGACAGACTTCCCCGTCCTCTTTCCCCTCTGGACTCCTACTTCCCTTTCCAGCTAAAGGGAGGTGGTAAAACACCAATATTGCTGAGGTCCTCGTAACACCCAATGACACAGGCACTAATGTTGCCCCCATTGTATAGGTTTGGAAACTGAGGCCCGGAGAAGACTTCCTCAAGGTCACAGCTCATTAGTCCAAAGTTAAAACCCAGGTCTTTCTGATTCTTTTTTTTTTTTTTTTTTTTTTTGTCTGTACAGGTAGATTCTGACCATTCTCTGGGTGTCCCTTCCAGGGTGGACCCCACGTGGCTGGGTGTCTGTGTGGTAGTGTGCGTTCTGGACATCTGACAGCATGTGTGTGCGTGCCTATTCTTCTGGATGGCAGCATTGGCATGGGGAATAGGGCTCTTCCTCAGGAATCCACTTTGCCTGTAACCACTTCCCTCTTGGGGGACAGGAACAGGTACTCTGAGGGAAGGAAGGAAGAAGCAGGAAGGACTCAGAAGCCAGAGGGACTGAGCGGGATGCATGGCAGCAGCGAGGGGAGGGATGGTGGCGGTGAGCGGCCGTGGCAAGGGCTCCGGGAGGACAGTTCCCATTCCCCGAGTCCCCAGGGAAACCCCAGTCAAGGCTGCTCCATCGTCCTGCAGTCCCTGTACCCCTTTCTTACCCACCCCCCAAATCTGAATTCACCTCCTTTAGGAGACCAATTCCTGTACACCTAAACTGGGGGTTTCTGCTTAACTCCTTCAGACAGTTTTGGGAGATCGGAGAGACCCAGAGGCAGCCTTCAAGGGGGCTGGGCAATGGGGGCCTGGAAAGGAGGCAGGCTTGACTGGCCAGAAGCCACCTTCCAAATGAGCTCACACACATACTTTCCACCCTGGCCCACGGCCGAAGGCTGAGTGCCTTCCAGGCCAGCCTTCCCCAGCCAGACCCAGCCCCCTCTGTCCTCCTCTGTCCCTCACCAGTTGTGGACCCAGGGGCTCTACAGCAGGATCGGGCACCTGAGGGTAGAGCTGTCACCACATCCCAAGGGAGCAACTTCCACTGCCTCTATGCCGAAGCAGCTCCCCCCTTCCCCCAGAGTGCCTTATTTCTCCAATGTGCCCTTTGTGGCTTAGAGGAAGAGGAGGCCAGCTTCCTGCCCCCCAAAGACCCACACCTGGATGGGGAGGGGCAGTAGAGGGTACAGAAGAGGTGTCTACACTGCAGTGAATTGGCGGAAGGACTTCCTCTGAGTGCCTGAAGTAGCTCATTGACTCAGGGACCAGACCAGGTCTGGGAGCTGCCTCACCATTGGGTCACATCCTGCTCACACACTTCACTTCCCGATAGGGCCACTTCCCCGATTTAGGGCAGGATAGGCTCTGGGTGGGGCAAGGCCAGGATGACCACAAAGGAGGGGAAAAGACTGATGCCTCCAAAGGCCTAGCGGATTCACACACACGCGACAAGCTCCAGCTCATTTTGATCCAGCCTGTGGTCAAAGACGTCACCCTTTGCTCAGCTTCCAGAGACATGTAGCACCAGGCCAGAGAGCAAAACCAATTCCCAAAAATGCTCTCCTTGGCCACTCAGTGTCTGGCTCTGTGCTAGGAGCGTGGCCGCCCTGACCGTATATCCTGGATCCAATAATATCTTCCCGAAGTTCTGTGAGTTAGTATATTCAGACATGGCAGACAGTTCATCCCACTTTGGATTCCAAAAATATGGCCACTCCAAGTAGATCACACAGCCTGCCGTCGCCCTCCAAGACACTGATGGGATAGTTCGGTCAGGGAATGACTATGATTCATAATAATACCGACCCCATCACAGCCACCTGACAAACATGTTCGGTCCTCACTTCCTTACAAAGGAGTAGGAGGGTGCTAGGCACCCAGGACCCCCTAATAAAAGTTTGTTGGCTTAAATTGCCAACGAAAGTTGTGCCTATACACAAGTAAATGGCTCTAGCTGTGAATCTGTAAGCACTCTAGACACATCTATACAAGTATTATGTTACACAACTTACAAAGTCATTGAGCTGTAGGTTTGTTTGTTGGTTTGTTTGTTTGTTTTGTAGGTTTAAGTTTACTACATTTTATGAACTTTACCATATATTTCTCCTCATTCTTTGGAAAGTTAAAAAAAAAAAGAAAGAAAGAAAAATACATCAAGGTAATGGATTCATAACTCCAAAACAATTACTTTGTCTCTACGGCTTCCTCATGAGTCCCTCACAGCCTGACTTCAATCTGGGGGTGGTCAGTATTGGGCTGGGTTAACCCAGCTCTTCTGGAAATACGATTCTTTTTTTTTCTTTTAATTTTATTTATTTAAGTAATCCCTACACCCAACATGAGGCTTGAATTCAAGACCCTAAGATCCAGAGTTGCATGCTTTTCCGACTGAGCCACCAGGAGCCCCTGGAAATACCAATTCCTGGGACTGTATCCTCAGTCCAGCCTGCATCGGGACCCTGACCTGAAGGGTCCACACACAGTCTCTCTTCCCTACCGCTCTCTAAGCTCCATGCCAATTGTGCCCCAAAGTCTCTACCGGCCTGTGCTCCAGAGCCCACTACTACTTGCCTGCACAAAACTGCTTATAAATTCTGAGTGGAGGAAAGCTGGACAAGGGGCCCAGAAAAACACCCATCCCATTCTCCGGTTGGCCACACCCCCTCCACTGCAGAGACCTGCCAGGTAGGGTTTGTGGGGCGATAGCGCCCCCTTGTGCTGGGTGTTGGCACTGCAAACCACACCTGAGACACGCGGGGGCCTAGCTACCATCCCCCAGCCCCACACCCCCGACAAGGGCCAAGGATACTGCCAGCTCGTTCCTTCCCCCTTTACACTTTCCATGTTTCCACCCAGGCCACCTGTACTTAAAGGGGTGGGACTATGGGTGCAACAGGATGACAGGCCTTAGTCTTGCAGCTGCAGAGAGGAAGAAGTCAGAGTTTCCCTCAGCTGTCCCTGTGGGGGGGGGGGGGG